ATCCACTGGGGACTGTCCAAATCATCAAAGCTCTCCAAATTTTTGCCGAAGATTCAAAGAGCTTTGAATCAATTCAGACCTTTAAATTGGTCCCCTGATTCAAGGACTTGGTGATTCAGCCACTGAATCACCACCTGAAGCTTTGCACAGCCCTAGTGAATGTGCCTTGCTCCCACACTGTTCCTTCCTCCCCGTTTACAAAATTGGCCAGGTCCTGAGCACTCTGTTCACCCTTTCCCACACTCATGTGGCAGCCAACAATTCCCCAGATGTAGGGTTTTCCTGGTTGATGCAGAATTGAACTGAGTCTACCTCACTGTATTGTGGCTTCTTCCATTCCAGCAGAGAATGTCACAGCCATGGCGGGGAGGCAGGGGCAGGCAGGCTGGGATTGTTGAGACAAAAAGACACATTTATTGTCCATATCTTTCCCCAGTTGGCCAGGTCAAAGTATCTTGACTCAGTATGGTTTAATGCAGAACTTGGCCTGTTCCTGAATTTGTCTTTTCCTTTATTATTCAGCCTTAGTCACTTAGCCTAAGTAACAAATCCCTGAAACAGGACCGTACTCACATACAGTTTTCCATTGCTCAAGTTTCTTTCCAGATTGTTTTCATTTCACATCTTCCTAGCTCTCCCTCAGAGGGCCACTCAGTCTGAGATGGTTGTCCAGAGACCTCCCTGATTTCCTTAACATGAAAGTCATCTGAAGGGTTTTCAGACCTGATATCCTGTCTCAGGTGCTCACAGGCCATTAAACAAGACTTATGCATTGTTCAATCCGATTTTTTTATTAGAAATATTTAGAGTTTGGGGAAACTATTTTTATTATTGGGCCTGTATCTCAGCAACAGATAAAAGCTATTGTTTTATTACTGGTAGGACTGTTGCAATTTTTTTTATTAAAGGATTAATTTTAGCTTTGTGTGTTACAAAATGCAGCTTCAGTGATGCATTGTGATACATATACCTCTTCCCCTCACAATTGCATTCTGCAATGCTGATAAACTACAAAAAGCCACAATTAATATGACCATTTATCAAGTGGCCAGAAACACTGTGTCCTAACCCCAATACTGTTTTTTCCCCAAATTGTTAAAATAATAAATGTTCACAAAGAGATGGTGGTAGAAGTTTGCCTTTTACCTTGCCCCCAATTTAAACGTGTCAAAGACAAAACAAAAACGTTTTGTGTGCATCTATTATTTAAGACATCCCTTTAATTATACTCTCAGAAAATGGCATTGGTAGTTTATCTACAGACAGTAGTAGATACCATGCTTCATCTGACCATGGCTTGTTGGCCAAAATAGACTCGCACAAAGGCAATCATCACTGCAGGAGTTTTTCAGATATCATGTATTTCAGCTGATATACTGTTGCTCATGTCAATAATTCTCAGGAAGAGATACTTGTAATCCAAGACTATTACAGAAAAATCAATGATTCTACACAGGTTGAAGTCAGGGTTTAAAGGTATTACTTTTATGTTGCATTTGGTACCTTTTGCTTTTCAAGGAGATAATTTATTTTTACCAAGTGCAATATGCAATGAATAAAATCAAAGTTCATTGTACTTACAGGGTTTCTAAGTGTAGTGATACAATGAGAAGAGTGTGAAATATCTGTTCAGTCACTTGTGTTGCACCTAAATCTCTGAAAGAGTTAAAAAAAAGACATTTCAGGCCTGATTATTGGAAGCTTGCTTTGTGGACAAGCCGATCTTCTCGATAGTTACTGAATATGAAAAGATAGCCTGCATTTTATTTAAAATACTGTATAAGAGTTGAAAAAAGATCATAACATTACTAATCCTTGTCTCGTAATTCAGATTCTGGCAATATAAAATTCTCCCAGATAATATTAAAGGCAAAATAAAGACAAATAATTACAATATAGGACATCATGCAGTGTCAGAAGTGCTGAACATGATAGGTGGCAAGCATTGGTTTGCCTCTGCTTTTAGAAGCAAGGGTGAGATCCTCAGATGATGTAGACAGGTGATGTAAGGTCAGGTATAGCACCACTG